AGAAACAGAACCTTTTAACTGTGGTTTTCTTTCATTTTAGCTCCTTCCCTTTTGAAAAGAACACTTACTATACTGCGAAGTGGACCGACCTGTCAATTGTCCTGTACAAGTATCATTAATAATTATCAATAATAAATAAAGCTTCCTCGTTTGTTAATCATTTTTGTGACAATCCCTAAGAAACAATCATCATTAACCCGCATGCTGTCTTAACATACAAAATGTCATAACGGTTTTCGTTTATAGTGAATAATATGGGCAGAAAAATGGCACGGGTAAACCTGAATAGGACAGAGTCTGGCACCAATTTCAGCAGCAGCACTGGAGTTGGTATCACTACCTGACGACGGCTAATGAGCCAGAAATGGCCACTGTAATGTCCCATGTCCTAGCTGGTAATGTCCTTCTGCCTATATCCTAGCCGCCTCGCGGTGGAGGCTCGACAGAGAGCTCTAAAGGCAATATGGGGGGACGAGTGGGTCCTCTGACAGATTAAGAGCAACATGGACGGACGAGTGTGTCCTCTATCAGCTCGGTGTACGCGTATCTGCTACTAGAGAACAGAGTTAACAACATGAACATAAATTGAACAAACTAGATAGCGTTCTAGGAATAGGTTTTACGACAAAATAATAAAATGTGACATAAGCTTTATGATAGAAGAGGGAAACCTCGTTTACGACAACTTATCTTTGAAGGGATTTTCGGTTGGCACCTTCAGGTTTGAAGGAACATCGCACGGTTTTCATCAATACCCGTAGGGCGGTATCTGCGTCTCATGCATAATGAGCGTACATTAAGTAGACATTAAAAAATTTCCACTAGCTCAATTCTAGGAGAACTCATCATCCCACCCTCGATTGTCCAGTGGAGAGTTAGGTTTTTTGGCCGAATAAGCTAAGAATGTGGCAATGAAATATTTAACGTTGAGTGTCCTCTGTTTATTCAACCAAGTGCTTGCTGTCAGAAACATTTCCTGCCGCTGAATAACTGTATTGTGTGTTTAATGAGATGATTACGAGTAAATACTGTGTAATATAGCTTGGACACCAAGCAAATTACAATAAGCCTCCCTGTAGACTACAAAACCTGGTTAAACACCTTGAGCGTGTCATAATAATCCCTTGTCCTTCGGATTATATGCGAACGTGTTATGGTAGCATGCTCATCTCCTCTTTGCTATTGCGTATTTAAGTATACCCTTAATATCAATTAGTCTGTCCCTCTCAAGCCCTGACTTTGTTGTATCCATGATGGTTTGCTGCACATATTTAACCTAGTGGACACTCTGCTCGGTATCTATTCAGCTAGGCACTGAAAGGACTTAATATTCGGCCAAAAGATTTGTCGTTACCAATAGACTCTACTAGTTCTGTTGGATTGCGCGTATACGTCACATACCTATATCTTTTATGGTCTTAAAAGGAGCAAAATAAACAAGCACACCTGCGGATTATAAGCAGGAAAATCGGATTAATCCTTAGTCTACAAATGACACAAATTTACTTTTTTTTCAAGCACAACACTATATTGAACCGGAAAGAAGTGGCATTTTTAATATTAAATTATAAACGAACAAATTCGAGCGGCATAGCCGAATACAATTGCTTGAGTGATGGTTTCAATGGAACTGGGAAATGGCAGCAACTGAATAATTGACAGTGAGCAAAACTCCTGGGCGATAATGCAGGCAAGGTAATGACCCCTAGAAAGTATTCAAGCATAAGAACTACCAGGTTTGGAAGTAATGCATAGCACACATCAAAGACACTCCGCGCTATAGAATACTGGCAAAATACGTTTAATTTTCCCAGGGTGATAGCCAAGATTACTACAAAACTAATAATTGCGCTGCTTTATTGGCCCTTTCCGTTAAACATTTTTAAATAGTATGGGCAGGAGGCTGAACGCTTTTCTAAATGTAAGAAATCCGCATAAAAATAAAGGCTTACAGTTTAGCATTAATAATATTTTATCTATCATCGCCGGTTAAAAGTTCATTAATTATTGTATCAAGCAGAGGAGCATAAATGTTGGTTTCCCCAACAATTGTTTTATAATTTGAATATAAGCATCGTTAAGTTCCGTTTTGCTCTCTTATTTAACAAAGTCAAATACTCCCTTAAATATATTTGACCATGCAAGAACACGCTAGTGATTTCCTAAGCACAACCTTGCTTTTGCAGTTGTGTTGCTGACAACGAAATACAGACTTTGTGGTATAAAGATGTTGCAATTGCTTGCTAAAAATATACAGCCTAAGGAGACTGAAAATCCTCATATAACATGGAAAATTTAGTGTTTATTCCTATCATGTTTGAAGATTGTGTTAACAGCAAAATTTTTTCGGATCTATTAATTTCGAGAATGTTCATCATTTGCTTACTCTTGTAAAGTAACCTTGGCCATTTCCTGTGACCTTGCCGTTTTGTATCGATTTTTCTGTATGAATTAAATTTTCTATTTTCTCTTACGTTATTGATATTGCGCACCAAAAGGAAGCAGCGAACGAGCATTCTCGAATTTAATGGATCCAATAAATTTCGCTGTTTACACAATCTTCAAAATTGCACCAGTGAAAAGATGCTTCAAAATTTCTATCATTCTCTACTTCATTCCCTTTTATAGAATGTCTGATGAAGGTGAAAACAGTCACACCGTTAGGTAGAGCAGAATTATGTTTAAGAGATATGCAGTGTTTAAGAACAATTCTAATTATTCAATTTAAATTACAAATTAAGGGGTATTTTACCCAAAAAACCAAGTGGGATTAAAAACCAGGCTCACGCCATCATTTTATAGAATTGGTAACTTTTCTTCAAACACTTATAAGTCGTTGCACTCATTAAAATAATCCACACAGTCTATCCACCTGCAACTAAATCTCCTTCCCCTCCACAATCGGCTGTATCAGTTCCAATTCACGTCTACTACAAAGTATCTAAAATATACTACCCTGCTAGACATAACAATTGGCCACATAACGAGGCATACTGGCCAATAAAAAGTGTTAATTAAACAGTGCCGCGGCTGTCATTTCTCAGCTGCTGACCTTTCACGCACGTTGCATGCGTGAGGGAAGCACTTTATCACACTTCAACCACCGCATTCAAGTGCGTCGCCGGTAGGCCAAGGGGTTCGAACAGATCGTTGGTGCATGAACATGAGTAGAGTTTTAGAACACTACTGATAGCGACTCAATTCACATGATAATTTGGCACGAAACTACACTCTGAAGACAACCAGAAAACGACAATAACCTTGAATTTCAATTTTGTTTAACTGACGTTTAATCCAGTCCCGTCGTTATGACCCTTGAAATAATATACTTGATTACCAGCACAAATTTGCGAATGTTTACTCGAGAATGGCAAATTACCAAAATGATAGTGGCGTTATGTTCCTAAATGTGGAAGCCTTTAGAGTAATTCCTGGGTTGAGTCCCAGGCTAGTTTAATGCCCCTACAGGAAAAGAACGAAATCGCACAGATTTTTAAACACCGCTATTTTTAGTAGAACGCATCGTCAAGTTTGACATCGTGAATTCCTTATATTTTCAAAGTCGCTATTAAAACTGCAGACACATTTATACTGCTGAGTTACAATCTCTTCACAAATTTATTGCTTATTTACAGTAAACTAGTTCTAATTAAGCTTTATAGGCTGGGTCAAGAAGACGATAGAAGTATTGGGGTTGAAGTGCACCAGCTACAGTGTTATAACTGTGTTATATTCATACATTATTATACGTACAGGTTATATGGTAGAGTATACTAACGGAAGTAGCAGTGCTGTCATTACGATCTAACAAAGCCTAAATTTATGTCAAAAAGCTTAAAACACGGCAAATTATGAAGTATTCGAAGAGGATCTAAAACTTGTTGCAATTAAATATGAAAATCTCACAAAAAGAAAATTTTCGAAAGGAACTTTCCCTAAGAAGTCACTAAATAATATGCTTGGGGGTTAACCTGTCAACTTTTCTTCAGTGTGATTGTCGATTACAGGGTTACAGTAACCTTATCGGAATTTAAGGCTGTTTGGATATATTTTGTATTTCCAAGCAAAATAATTTTAATTTTTTATAGCTCATGTAATTTGTACGCTTGTCGAACGTTGTTTATTAGTAAATTTAGGTTTTCGTATATGCGGTAATACCAATCTGCAAGTACTTAACTGTCTTTCGCAAATTTCGGCATTTGCGTTAATAAGGTTATCTACGTACTAAGTGCCCACTTAACTAATTTATACAGAACAACAACACGGCTGAATTTTCATTTGTAAGAAATTATTTTACCCTCAAATTAAGTAATTTCAGACAGAAAATTGTAGGAGGCAAGTTATTCTAGCACCTGTGTTTTATTACTAACAAAACCTATCACCTTCGCAAGTATAAGCGCAGGACACAAAATAAGAAAGCTTAGTTCGATTTATGACAACGATTTAGGAGCACCAAGATATTTTCAATAACATAGGGTGTTATCGTAGTTTGTTTTAGGGAAGCGCTTGACATGTACTTTCAGATCGGACGAGGAAGTATAAGTAATGTTTTCTTTCAAAAGGTAGAACGCTATGCTAAAAATAAATATATCCTTCCTCTGGATATCATGCTTTAAGGAGAAATGTATTCTGGTGCATAGATTATATATATTTTATCTATGTCTCTTCGGTAAACACGAGTCGGTGTATACAGACCATGCCTCATATTCAAGTAACCATTTCGGCGTCTTAGTTATTTTTACAATTATGAGGACATCCAGCGATATCCGTTGTGCTACTAGTGTTAGTTCAACCATCGATTTAGATGATGTCCAGCATATGCCCAAGAACAGGGACGGTGACTGTGGTCAGGTGCAGTGAGAGTAGACGAACAGCCATCTACCTCACTCTAAACCCTCTCCCCTCCTAAACTGGTTACAAGACAAAGTCGAGATGAGAGAGCAGCCATTGGGCGTAAACCGCTTTCTTCAATGCAGCCAGAAACACCGCCTAACATTGTCTTTAGTGACAGTAGCCCTTTGCGCTGGTACTATCGCACTACCTACCCGCAATCACCTATGGTAGGTGCCCGGAAAGATTCGAGGAACACGAGTCTCGTATTTCTACTACTGCAACTACTGTTTCTACTGCTGTTTCTAGCGGTGTATCTGAGTGATTCTAGTGCTGGTAGTATTACTGAGGCTAATATTTGGTCAGAAATGACACTGATTGGAGTCAGATCTGGGCCCCTACTCCCTCGATCTCAACTACGGAAGTGGAGACCTGGATGTCTGCTATCCCCAGTAGACTAGGTGCTTGAGGCTCGGAGCACATCAATGTTTGCCCCTGCTGTTTCCTAAAGTTTAAACTAGTAGGGTTAGGATACTCCTGTTAGAAGTGATGTGCCTATGCTAGATGTTCTACTAATAATACTGGCTAAAGCTAGTATTAGGTAGTAGATATCCTGTTCTTCTTTTCTGCTCTCAACTATGTTATTCCTTCCACTTAAGTACTTCTTAGAAGGAAGGGGAGCTTCGAAGGAAAAAGCATGTGATTCATTCAATTAACGCACGCACGCACGCACTAGCAGGCTACATTGTTGGCAGTCGTCTTACTACTAGTTCACTCACGCCCTACATGGTTAAGGCTTCTGACTCAATAACACCTACGTGCAGTAGGCACCTGTTTGATAAGATTAGGGTCGCTCGTGAGCATTAACTCCTACAGGCATCCCGCAGGGGCCTACACAGAAGCCAGAGCAGCCTAATTACGCTGCGTAATCTCTGGCGACTGCGTGCT